ACATATAAATATTAAATTGAAGTGGCGGCGGCAGAATATCGAGATTCTGTCCTTCCTTTCAAAGCCTGTGTTCTATTGCTCTCTCACTACTCTTTCTCCTCTTTCTTCTTCACTTTCTCTTCTTTTCGAACCTGAAGTTTCTTAGTGCTCAAGACTGATAGCAGTCTTGAACAACTACAATAAAACAGATCTTATTTTTCAATACGGTAAAGTATGAAGTATTATATTTCAAAAAGTATGCTCCTCTGTACACGGAGATACTGTACAAGTATATACCTTTTAACTATGGTTATAAAACAGATCATAACCATAATTTTCAAGACACCAAGGCAAAGCTAGGTGACGGGGCACCTTGCCTCCTGGTCACCTAGGTGATCAGTTTTCTAAAATAAAGAATACAAGTTGTAGGGTAGTTCCCTCAGTTTTATAATTAATCAGCAGTAATCATTAACGAATAATTGCCATAATCCTCATAAAATAAGTATAAACGTAATATCAAAACACTGAAAATCAATATATTTTTGAGAAGAAAAAGAAGAGAAAAAAGAAAAAATAGAAAATAGACGGGCTGAACTCTTGTTCTTGTACCATGAAGAAGAATGGGTGGAGCCCCTATTTTTTTCCCAATATAAAAGAGAGAGAGAGAGAAGAAAGGGGCAGAAGCAGAAAAGAAAAATATTATAAACCAACAAAATTAATAAATTAGTTTAATAATATAAACTGTAATATTATTACATTATAAAATAAAGTGTAAAAATATTATGTGAGGCCTTACACAAAAATACATAGATATTTGGTTAAGGCAACCCTCCAAAGGTGCTTTGTTGCCTAGGCATCACCTTGACAACCATGATCATAACAATGCCAAGGATGCCTTGTCAACATGGAGGGAAGGAGAGAAGACGATGGTGGAAGAGGAAATGTCACCCCATCTCCAAACAATGGTAGAAGAGGAAATGTTGCCTATCTCCGGAAGTCAAACAGTAGAGTCCCAAAAGTCTTTCCATTGCTTGTCCTGAAAAAGAAACAATTTCAAAAAAATTTGAACCAAAGGAGAGAAGGGTTTATCGCTTGCCAAAGTACTTAAAAAAGGGGCTAGCTCTAATCTGTGGTGGGGTCCACATAATATTAAGGAATTAAAGACTCTCTCGGACCTAACCACGTTTAGGCCAGACAATTAGAGATGAACCAGTTGGAAGAGAAAGCTACTAGGACTGGCTCATGTAACGCATTAAGCAGTCATGTGAGGAGGATTTCTTTGACTCTGATGGGAGACCATAATAATGGTCTATCTTCCTCTCCAAGTTCACAACAAAAGGTTGGTTCAAAGATCTCGACTAAGCAAACTTTACAGTGGTTGCCCAAGAATAAGAACAAATATGAGGATTTTGGTAAACAAGCAAAGGATTGCCTGAACCCAAGATATTCTAGGGTTTGGTCAGAAGAGAATGTGGAGAAAGATGGAGGTTAGGCTGATTGCGATTTCTCAAATGATGAGAACRTGTCTGAGACTGAGTTTGAGGTTGGCAATTTGGCAACCTTCAATACAGCTCTACTCTTTGTAGAAGAAAAACAGAGAACAAAGCAAAGAAAATACTTCTGTTTTGAAGCTTTCTACAGAGTCCAGGCATTCAAATGAAACTAGGTACAATCTGGTTTCTAGGGAGGATAATAAAAGACCTAATGGAGGAGAACAAAACCAATTACTAAGCTATGGGCAGGGGGTCTGCAAGTTATTAGTGGATGATCACATGCGGATTCACAAAATAATCCAAGAGGGGATAAAATGCAGACTTGTGGGAGTAATAATGAGTTTGCACCAAGTCTAGATAACTCCTTACAGCGAACTCTCCCTGTGGTAATTAGTAAATCCCAAAATCCTGAACTGGACAAGAGTACAGAGGCTCTTGTTTGGTAACTGTGTGATGTGATGAGCCTAACCCAGGTATGTTAGTGAATTCGGTTTTGGATACTAACCTCTGCTCTGTGCCTGTTGTCTGTCCTCCAAGGTCCCAGCCAGTAACTATGTCGCTTGCGTCTATAAGTTGAAGGTAAAAGATGCGAGTTAGGGGCACAGGAGGAAGAGGAGAGAATAAAAATAAGTACAGAGATAATAGAAGTGTTTGAAGAATTAGAAAGAAAGGAATTAGAGAAAGAGAAGAATGCTGAAGGTAAAGAAAGTGGGTGTGCTACAGTAGGGAGGGGTGGAACTTGAGGGAGAATGTGAGGGAAGCAAAGAGAGAGAGGAGAGGGGCAATGTGAGGGGAGCTGGCCATGGACTTGGATGTTGGGTGTGGATATGGGCTAGAAACATGGATGTGGATATGGATAAGGGGTATGGTTAAAAGACATGGGTTTGCATACAGATAAAAGTATATGACTATGGGTCCAAACATGGGTTGGGTCTTGGTGATGGGCTTGGGCTCTGTTATGGTTTGAGTTTCTTTTCTTCTTGCAGCTGTAAACTTTCAGCCCACCAAACGCTTCAGCACCAGAGCAGCATTCTACAGGAGAAAGTAGTGGTGCAAAAGATAAGGAAGACATGGTGTCTAATTTTTCATGAAGCCTAAACACACCCATGAGACAAGCTCAAAACTTCACCCCATCTTATCCCTTCTTAGTTCAAGAAAAAGAATACCAAGAACACAAGTGAAAATGTGGCCTACCTTCATTTTCTGGTAAAATCCAGATGAGACCAATTTCTTCTAACCTTCCTAGTCTCTTGTCTATGGAGCCCCTAGCCGCTGCTAGGGTTGAAGTGGAGAAGTATAGCAGATACTTGTCTTAATTAGAGACTACAACAGGTGGATCCCCTAGCATTGTGCCTTAAACATCCACTCTATCTATTGCATTGGATAATTCAGAACTTGGGCTACAGAAAYTCATAAGTCCACTCTTTGGATGCTTAACTCAGGGGCACAACCGCACAACAACAATGTTCACTATTCCATCCTTACTGTCTATATTAAGGTAGGGATAAAGTCTCTTGAGATTATGCATTGTGGGCAAGGGCATTATTGTCTTTCTCTTTTATTTGTATTAGGGTGCCCATTCAAGGGATGTAATTTTCATTATTAAGTAAAAGAGGATCTTTTTGGGTGTGAACAATAACATACCCTATTTCCCGAAACTTCTCTTCTTCATCTTCGTCTTCTTTCTTTATTCTCTTCTTCCCACTTCATTTTCTAAAATCAAACTGACGCCAAATGATGTCAGCAGTCGGTACAAGTGTTGGCGGCAACCTTTTAATTTGTTTCAACTTATGCACCTAATTTTAGAAAGATTTTGGTATGGATCTCATCTCCATTTGATGCTTCCATATTTTTTCCCAGATTTTCAATCAAAAATTAAAGAAAATTACAACTTCAATGATTTGAAATTTCTCTTCCCATCTGAGGTTGTTTCTTGCTTGAGACCTGCTGTTTGTCCTCAGGTCGTTTTACTTTTTTGGAAGTATGGGAAGTGGTTCCACATTTTTTTGAACCCTAGTTATTTTTTGGGAGATTTTATTCTCCTCCTATATTTCTGCCAAATTTGTTTTGGCCTCCCATTGGCTCTAACCGAGGGTTGACCTGTTCTAGTGGGTCTATTGTGTTGATAGTGCTACAAGATTGTCGAGTTGCTAGTCCAAGTCCAATGGAATTGCCTAAGGAGGTGCAAACTGTTTTTAGAATGCTCCTGAGCAATGCTGATGCTTCTAATGGTATGATAACCACTATAAAACCTGATGGAACCAACTTCCTTAAGTGGTCTTAATCAGCCAAGCTTACCATCGGAGGAAGGGGTAAGTTGGGATTCATTACAGGCAAGGAAGTGAAGCTAAAATCTAATGACCCCAAGTTTGCCAAGTGGGAACAAGATAATTCATTGGTTATGTCATGGCTGGTTTGTTCGGTGCAGCCACACATTGCCTGCAACTACACGTTTTTCTCTATTGTCAATGATATTTGGGATAGTAGAAATCTGCAGAAATAAAAAATATGTAGAAAAGATGAAGAATGGAAGTGTTCTTGAGATAAGAGAGAAGAAGAACAAGAACAAGAAGAAGAACAAGAAGAAGAACAGAAAAAATAATGAGAGAGTTATATGTTCTGGCCGCCCCCTCTCATTATTATTTATACTTAAGGTAAAAATAGGTACAATGAAAAGTATGCCCTTATATGGCGACTGAACACAAAAGCTTAGTAAAGAACGTAAAAAAGGCACTCTAAAAGACTCCAAAGGGTCCCAAAGCAAGTGTGATGTTGTCCCCACTACCTA